TGTTATGGCAAACATATCGGAATTGTGCAAATTCTTGATAACGCATTGTTTTGTCAAAAGGATCATGTCTGTAAAGGTGTGCCTCGCCTTGTCGGGAATAAAAGCCTTATTTATTTACTTTGGGCGCCCTGAAATAAATCGCATGAAAGCCTTAGCTCGTAGCTACGTGTATTGAACTAACATGCATAAGCAGTTCAAAGAACTTTTTCAAACCTGCAAGATATGCCAACTGTCTGCAAAGTCCCTTCGCAAAACAGAGTTGGGTTCATGGCCAGCACTAGATACCGCTTCCACACTAATTCATGATGGCTTTCCCGGACGAAACAATGGCCAACGCTATCTGCTCCTGATTGACGCCTACAATAACTGATCGGAAGTCTTCGTTATGGGTCGTATCAATTCTCGTGCTGGGACTTAAAGCTACAGCATGTGTTAAGCCGTTTTGGGATTCTATAAACCCTATCTCTGATAACGGTACAGCGTTCACTTTCACAAAATCTTCCGCCTTTTGTGAACGAGACGGTAATCCAGCACATCTGATCGCCGCCACTGCACCCCAAATCCAAAGGCTAAGTGGAACGTTTCGTTGGCACTTCCAAGAGATCTCTGTCAAATCTCAAAAGTGAGGGGATTACACCGGAAATCATTAAAATCTTGTTTACATATCGGCGCCAAATATTAACAAACAAAATGGAAGCTCACGAGGTTTGATGAGCCGGAAGCTGCGCTTACCTATCGATCGCATTCGTCCAGCCTCGTATCTGCCGATTGATGGAAATGTCCGCATGGAGAACCAATTTAACCGTCAACACGGTGCCGCGGATCGCACGTTTCACGTAGGCCAGTCTGCGTTGGCTAACGATTATCGTGATGGTTGCTGAAAGTGGACGCATGGTCTGAGCGTACGCCGCACGGCCAGATTACCTATCATGTGGACTTACAATCCTTAATATCAACTAACCAGTTGAGTTCATCCTCTTGCCAAAAAACGCATCACGACCCTGACCTTAATATCCACATTCTCCAGGAAAATTCTGAGCTTCAGCAGAGGTGAAAACCCAGGAAGAAATCATCCAACCAGTTACTTCAGTCGAATCAGACGGCAGCGTGTACATGTGCAGCTGGATCCATGACAGTAGTCATACGAATATCCAGTCCCAAGGGAAAGTGTTAGGTGGACAGTCTCTAAAGAAATTTATCCCTTCGGGCGGACAATACCCAATTTCCATCTGCTTCGGTTACGGTCCCAGTGACCAAAGTTCACCTCCGTGAAAAAACGGTCTACATTGAGATTGCGCATCGCAAGCCAATCACACAACGTGTGCTCTATATGTCCCTCCATCCAGAATTTATCCCTTGTCAACAGTAATGTCCATTAACTGCAACTATCCATTCCTCCATTTCAGCTCGTTACTGATCCTAACCTGGACTGTAACGCTCTTTACTTCCACTGTACTACGCCCAAGTTCTCCGGATTTTCCGACCCGGAGATATATCTTCCACCAGTGCTTGTTTGTCTTCTCACCTTCCGTGTGTTGACATTATGGTTGATTGAATGATACCAAGAACAACAGTTACCAGAGGTAGCAGCCATTTCCGTCTCTGATGCACCCTGAGATCACCAAGCTCCGCGGTCTCCATTCAAACTAGCACGCAGCTTTTCCCTGAGGTCCTTGGGAGTCTCATGTTCGCTCCCAGTCGGAAGGTCGCCGAGCATCAAGGAAACTCAGACAGAGTGGAGCCCCAATGTCAAAGTTGGCAGCTTGATTTGCCACACAGAGAAATGCCTGCGGTTAATAACAGAGATGACATCAGTGTTCACTGTAGCCTAGGTTCTTACAAGGAGACGCTTCTGGAATAATCGGATTTCGTTGCAACACAATGATTTGCAGAGGTATTCACATAGTTCGCACCGCGGATGCGGTTAAATGCTGTGACTAGATTTTCAATCCATTTATTTAGAACTTGCAGGTTAGTTTAGCAAGGTTCCCTTTGCGTCCCCTCACATGAAGAGGACGAAGGAGGCCAATTAAATTGTCCCTGAATATTTGTTGCCCAAATAGTCAGATAGCTTCCATACCGTGAATTGGGAAACCATTGCTATCCCTGACTGCTTGACCGGCACATGGCTCCTCGGATAAGACGGATGAGTTCCGGGAAGCTACCCGCCGCTCCTGCATCCTTCATCCTCTATGCGTTTGAGGTCACCAATCCTACTTTGCTGTGGAGCCCTCATGAGTCTACAGAAGTTACACGCCGACCCCATCTCACCTCCGTCGCCAACTGTTAAGTATGCTGCTTAGCCGAGCCAATGACACTTGTCGGTGTCGTTCTCCATGCGTCGAGTAGCTGCACGAAATCCAGACCGCTTACGCCCCCGCAGACCCTAGCCGCGATTACCTCACATGCGAGACCACGAAGTTTCTTTCTCGAACCATGTCAGACGAGTACGCTGATTTGAAACAGATGCTACACCAGCAGCTTAAATTGATGTCTGTACTAACCGATAAACTTTCCAATACTTCCATTCAGTCAAGTTCCGTTGGCAATTTCTAATCGGTGGATCATATTGCCCTCGTGGCCTTAGTATAAATGGTACGATGACCTGTTCATCATTAACCTGGCCGCCCAGGATGATGCGTGGAAGGTCCGGGTGCTTCTCCGGAAGTTGGGCACTGCTGAACACCAACGCTATCCTAATTTTATCTTGCCAAAGAAGCCCTGTGACATCACCTTTGGCGAGACGGTGCGTACGCTTTTAAATATATTTGGCGAACAGTCCTCACTGTTCAACATCCGGCTCCAATGCCTCCAGAAGACGAAACGTGACGCCGACAACTTCATCACGGGCATCATTAATCGTGAGTGCGAACGTTTCCAGCTTGGATCTCTCACAGAAGACCTATTCAAATGCTTGTTTTTTAACTCTGGCCTTCAGTCCGCTCAAGATGCAGAGATTTGAACGCGTCTCCTTAGCCAGGATGCCGCAGGACCACACACACAATCCAGAAGCTGGCCACGTGTTGCACATGCCAGCCCACCGACTCCCGTGACGTGCGTTGTCTTCGCACCTGGGGTGCGGATGGAAGAAAAGGAGGGGTGGTCAAGCGGTGAGTTGGTCGAGAACAATGAAGGCCCTTTCTTCGACGTTGGCCTCGGTTGGATCCTCTCAGCCCCCTAGTTGAGGTCCGAAGGATAATGAACACGTGTGGCTGAGTACATTTGTTGACATGGCGAGGAGCCAACCACAATGGCGTTTGTGTTTTCAACTTGTCCATCCCCTTCCTACTTAGCCTGTTCCTCCAACCAAGATCTCATCTATTAGGTGTAATAACCATCATATTTTGCTGCATAGTAGCCGGCTGGTAGCTCCCCGGAACGGTGTCCATCGGTTACGTATGTCTCAGCCGGCGTGCCTCTGTTGCATGTTTCTTTTCTTTTGTATTGCGGTACAATGGCTGAGGTTTTCTCCACCTGTTGCTAACGTGTATTATGATAATGATACTGCGTTAGGTCCTAAGGTAGCGTCAGACATATCAGATATGGACCACACGGTGTTCATCGATTTTAAGAATGGGTTTGATTCAGTAGATCGCTCACTGCTGTTCGATTTAGTTGTTCGCTATGGTGCTTTTGTGAGGTGTATCAAGGGTCGTGCCAAGTTCCATAGCGACATGTCGGGCTCCTTTCCGAGAGCCATCGACATTCTCCGGAGTTCTTTCAGCTTCCCATTACTATTCTATTTCTACTAGTAATGAGATTGACCTAGTAATTCCTCACTTCTCCTTGAACTTTGACATGCTTGACGTCACATGTGCGTGATGGTGTTCGGGCGAGCATCAGCAGTACGCCGGTACGCAGTACCGACGCTTCGCTGCCGCGCAACCACCAATACTCACACGTGGGCCAAGGATACTGCGAGTGTCGCCCGGTTCCTACTCAGGCTCGAACCCGCGCCCACAGATTACAATGCAGGTTTGTATTCCTTAGGGCAACGGGCGGAGGCATACATTATCTTCTATTGCCGAAAATGGCATTATACCGTTGTCTCTCGCGTTCCTTTTATGTATTAGCCATTAGAAAAATGCAAATACTAACACCATCCGTGATATCACTTCTCGTTGGACAGTCAATTTTTAGTACGAGTACATACACGACTTACTTACTGGGGTTGCTTTTGCGAAACTTGCAGCCATAACTTAAGACATCCTGTATCGACTTGCTCTATTAGCGCTCTTTGTCCCTGTAGCAGCGCCTTGCTTAAGGTGGAAGTTTGGTTGGCGGTGAAAATGTCCACCGTAGTCTTGGTTCCCGTGTGGTCAGCACAGCTTCGCAATTCTAATTTTCATTCAGAGTTGCAATTAGGTTTATTTGTCACGCTGATAGTTAAGAAATGAACCGGTGGACATGCATAATGTCGGGCGTTATTCTTTCATGTATCTTGGTTACTGTTTCATTCTCCCGTCCCGGTTTCAGCTTGCGCTGATTAAGGGTGACATGTCTGGACTTATTGGGGCATTTTCCATCATCCGGACGTCTAGAAAATGTCTCTATTTCAAATATCAAGATTTTGATAGTCCCGATTTACCAGTTCCTAAAGAGAACTTCGCCACCAAGTCTGCGCGTACATCCCGAAATCAGTCTGCATTATTTTGAAATCAAGTACCAAGGAGACCTAGGCCTTGTTCTTCTACGTGACATCGATGCTGATCAGACACTATGGCCATTTGATTGTGATATCGTATAAGTTAGTTGCGAACAATCTTGCGCAGTTCGTCAACAAGCTACACGAGTTGGATGTCACTTCTTTGGGCTTTTCGGAGAACGTTATCAGAAAGTATTATCCACCAAACCTTCTAAGTTGTTTAAATATGCTCGTACGCAGTCGGCTGTCCGGATCAGCGATTCGACAGTACATGCCCTTGTCCGCGGTCTAATTGCATTCAATCATGCAGACAAGTTACTGAGTTTGCTTAGTCAGCGAGTGAGTCCCATTTTTCATGTCTAATTTTCAATCAAATCTGAGACTGGTTTTTCTGGACACTGTTTCCGCTAGCCTACTACTAGACCACTTCATCGATCAACAGGAATGGGAGTTCGCGATTAAGGTGGCCTGGGAACTGTACTTACAAGATGACACACGTACTTTCTTCTCGACCCCCATTACTTTGGCGCTTAGGCTATATGTCGCACAAAAACGAATTCAATGTCTTTGGCCGAATGAGAACGAAAATTCCAAGGTGATCATGGACTCGGATGACGTGAGTTGCCTGAATTCCGAGTATATTTGGCCTGGTATCATAACGTATGTGGTTACTGATATCGCTTGCATCAAGTTCCTCCTTATGATGCAAGTGTGCAGCGAATTTTCAGTGCTCTCCTCTGTTTAGTAGTAACACTGATTATGCGCGCCATGACCCCGCTTCTAAACCGTCACTGTTTGTGGGAATTTGTCGTTCCATTCTGTTAACCTCGAGTCCGATCTCTCCCACTTCCAATACCCAAATGTGTTTTTAACTGTGGCTCCCATCTCCAACTTTGCCAGAAATACTAGGCCGGCCGGTGACCGAGTGATCTGCGCGCCTGGTTTGCAACCATAAGGTCACCGGTTCGAATCCGCTCGGCGGTGGGCATTCTCGCGGTATACTCAGCTCGCGCGCCACTGGTGGTGGTGGCGCGGCAGCGAAGCGCCGTTATGGCGTGCAGCTGACATGTTATTCTAGTATTATCATTATTATTCTGCGTGGCAAGTATATGCATCATGGTTGAAGCATGCTCCCTGTCACGAAGTGAAAAAGGTGGGTACCATGACAGCCAGTTGTTCAAAATGGTGGAATAATCCAATCACGGAGCAGCAGAGGACCTCTAAACCATTTACACCTTTGGTATTGGTCCTAGGGACTCAATGGTTTTAATTCTTCGTCATTTGTGTGAGGTTTAAAAATTCGTGATATCTTGTTTCCGCAACTTGATTTCAATCCAAACGACCGGAATGCTCATGTTTAAAGACACTGGGACCAAGATATCATTCTTGATTCATGCGCCGCTTCATTCACACGGTACGTGAACGACGAGGAACGAGACCAGCAAATATACGTGTGCGGGTCGTTCTAATTCGCACCGTGACAGTCCAGTTGTCGCCACGCACAACTTGTGGTTTGTGCGACTTGCGATCGAACGGACAATGCCACGCATCCGACAATTACGATTTATTGATGCTCTGACCGTCGCAGAAGATAATCAACGGTGCCCTATCTGCTGCATCGAACGGAGTGGAGCGGGTTAAGTATGCTACAGTTCAAGCTGTTCTGTTTTATTATTTTATGCGCATGTTCATCTTTATCACCCCCTTCCAACTTCACTTGTGTCCCCTCTTGTTTTCAACACCCAATTTTTGGTCTTTCCTCACATTACTTCAGTTGTCGCTAGAGGGTACCCACAGCCTTTAGACCGATCATTAGTGGTTGGCTTATCGATAGTACTAGTTGTATAGAATGACACTAGCGAGCGATAGTGGATAATAGGCGGAACGTTGAAGGATCTGTGTCAGAAGTGTACAGGACAAAATTATACGGGGTTATGAGAGAAATTAATAGCAATTATGGTGTTGTGTTACATCTTATAGATAACACAATAGTTTTCAAGTGTTTTCATCTTTATTTTTAACATTATACGTATTTTTGGTTTGATCTTAAGTGCATATGAACTACTAGTAGGAATCCTCCGTGTCCGTTTCACTTCTATTACTTTAACCGTGAGCACAACAGTGTTTCAGGCATTAGTGGCTGCTCACTTATTTTTTGTCTTTTATCCTTGCCTTTGCTCAATCGTCGCTCTCTTCTTTTTAACTCTACTCCCGAGCTTGTCCTAATAATTTCTGTACTTTATTGTGGCCCGAACACTATGGAACAACGCCAGTTCGTCAACTGCCAACATGGAATTTACCTACATTCATTCATCCAGGTCATATGCATTACATCACGCCGATCCGGTATCGAACCAAAACCGTTTCTACCTCGTCCGTGTCAGTTTTAACAGCATAATTCCAACAAAGGCCTCACACCTGTAACATATTTCACTGCAGCGGGTTTTTCTCCCCATGAAGATATCACCAAAGACATTCCGACGGCCGACGTCTCAATGATCAAAAAGTAACAACGTGCCAACAATGTGATCATAATTTTGTATCAACCCGGGCTCTAAAAACTCACTAACGTCCTACACACCCCACCGACTACGATGGCATTAAGGTACCTCGGGTTTCAACTAGTCCCATTTATTGGACAGAAGTAGATCGACAACTTCTACGATATGCGACAGACTTGTGTTCGACTGGTACTTCCATGAAGCAACTTCTTCCCATGCTTCGATCTCAGCATCCCTCTAGGACCGTCGCGGCCAATGAAAAGCGACTTCAATATCTAAAATGGCAACGTTGAACGTGCGCTCGTCTTACTCTTAGTGCCGCGCCAGATGTCGCGAGCGCATCGCTCAGTACCCAACAGAAATACTCATCGGCCTCTGACCTTCCATCTGCGCCGTCCCCCAAGGTTACTCCGACGCCCGTCTCTCCACCCCCGAATCGCACAACTTCACGTAACCCATTTACGACAAAGTTTGACCCTCCGCCCTCAAACAGATGCGCGTCCTTTAGCAATACACTGGAGGAGTCCCACCTTGATGCCACTGAGGTCTTTTGTTGTTGTGACCCTTCAGAAGTCACCCCAAGTTCTACGAATGACCCTGCCAAGTCCACAGGATCCACAACCCCACAAGCATATACATCCCCATCCCCAGGTGTTACTCACTCCTCCCAGCCTCGGATGAAGGCCTATGAACGGCCCGCGGCGCAGGCATTTGCCTGTTCTCTCACGTACCCTGTTCCAAACGTATGGAGCAGCGGACCAGCTGGTGTTCCTATGGATGATTCGAGTGGGGTAGCCTCAGCTGACTCCAAATCCAGCCTGTTGAACCGTTGTCATTCGTCACCTGTAGGGTTACCTAGTCAGTCAAACGGATCCACAATTGTCTAATCTCCATTTTGATCTTCAAATCCTTTAGCGCAACGAAATTTCGACACCGTATGACAATCCCCCTCCCCGTCTACATCCAATCCCATTAGTCCGCAGTATATTTGCTGCAATTTATGTCCCCGACATTTTCATACTGAAAGTGTTGTACAGCGGCATTTGGCGGCTCACCGCCAGAACGCGACACCACCACTTATTCCATTTCCCACAGTGGGTCACTTAGCTGCCAAGAATGTGGTCGTATATTTCGTACAAAAATCGGCCTCTCTCAGCATCGCAGACAGACATCCTTCACAGTATAACACCGATTGGTTGATGCGTCTACCTGCTCATTCTCTCAGGCGGATACCGCACGAGGACAAAAACTTACCTATCGAGCTTCAGAACTGTCTCGTAGTTGCGTTACACAACATGAAGCACTTCGGAATCTTCCGAACTTATTCCTAATGGGGGCTCCAAACAGTTTAACGAAGTGCTTACATCATTTGGACTGGTATTTACATCACCATAAAATGCGAATGACTCACAGTGTTTGCCCAACATACCGATAACGCAACAGCCTCGTAGTTCTGTAGGACACTCCGCCACGTGATTCTTTCCCTCTCCTATTGTGGAAGAAACGAAGTAATAAATTTGCCCACAATTGTCTCTAGCCTTGGAGAAACCACTTGGCCACAGAATGTAAACTCTATACACTCGGGTGATTGACCACGCATTTCATCGCCTGAAAATGACACTATATATCGATTCTTGATCTTGGAAGCCCACCGCTTAATAGCTTTGTGTGAACCTACGGAAAATACACAGCATTCCCTTTTTTGACACTTATTGGTCACCTTCACAGAGGAAGATACCAGGGGGTAATTTACTGCACGATTAAACACCATATATGCTACACTCTTCCCGCATAAATGGGAACTAATACAGCGTCAGAAACGGCAGCAAAATGTATGGAATAATCGGTAGCGTCGGCGACTACAATATGGGCACATTCAGCGGCTTTAGCGCAAGCGACGTAAAGATGCCGCTATAACGGTTATCGATGGTCACTGGCGGACAGTAGTTTTTATAAGAAGACGGTGTAATTCCAAATTTTACGGATTATTGGACCATTGTCGGACCAGTAGTCGAGGAAAGATTCCCCCGAACCATTCTCACTCCTAGCCAATTAGGAAAGATGAAATGCGGACAGTGCTTCGAAACATGCAAGGCAGCGCACCGGGAGTCGATCGTATTATGCCAAAGGACGTAGCATAAATGGATCCACTCATTCGATACAGCTTTTCTAAATTATCACCGGGAAGGAATACTGTGGTTAAAGCTTTTTAAGGTATATACAGTTGCGGGCCCGTCAAATATCCCCGCAAAGGCGTGCCACAAACTCCGGAGTAATGGCTGTGGAAAGCGGGGTCCAATTCCTCCCCACAACGTAGCAGTTTTCAGCCACTCAGAGACGCGGCACAATTGCGCACCTGTTGACAATGTCCTTTTACAAACTACCACCCCGTTGTGGTGGCTATTTTCCCTAAGTTAATGGCTCAACATTTGCTGTGATTCGCCCTTTGTTGGTCGTAAAAGAGCCTTCTGAGGACCAGTTGCCTTCCTTTCTTTTCGCCGCTAGCTGGGAGTCGGTCGGGTCACGTGATTTTGCATGCGTTCGCGTCTAATTCACCAGCGCGCGTTTACCGTACCCCCCTTTTCGTGTGCACAGTCTCGTCCGTTACGGGGACTCAGCGTCTACTCGAATACGTGCGGCGAGTAAGGTTCTCACGCTCGCTCGATTTCCGTCTCACCTGCGCGTACCTCGGGCTAAGCTAACGCCATCAAGTCAGCGCAAATCCTTTCGCTTGGCCAGTGTTCCAATCCGTTACCATAGATGTGCTCCAACCGTGCCAGTAACAAAATTACCAGGCGTCTCTGAAACTTAACATATACCCACTAACAAAGTGGGCGTTTCATGTACGTCAGTGTAACACGGTGATGGAAACGCATTTGCCGATTTCCACAGAGAGTTTCAGTCCAGTGATAAAAAGAATCCTGTGAAGGAATATTGTGGCAAAAAGGTTTAGAAGTGTAACTCAGTGGCGAGGTGGGAATTTCATGAACCTCAATGTAGCACTAAATAGTTGAAGTAATTTTTGTGATCTCCATAGGGTAATTCAACAAAGTAAGAGAGGTGTATTGAGATAGAGACATTTGAAGCTACTTCCCACTGCTGAGCTGGGGCATAGTGCGCACGACGATTTGACGCCAAGTAAATTGGATGATTGTAGTAATGTTTCTCGAAGACAGGACCCAATCGTTCGTATCCGAGAGGAATGCGACTCAAGACAATGGCATGTACCATGTCAGTACATCGACAGGTTGGCTTTCCATCAAGTGAACCTTCTTTGTATTTGTCGTTCCGGTGATGAAACAACCCAAGTAAGTGCTGTCAAAGCTTCCTAGTAGATTTCGAGAGGAAGGAAACAAGAGAGACCACTAACACGCAATGGGGTGAAGACAACTCACGAAATGATTGATGCGCATTGTGTAAACACAGTTTATTATTGTGTAGCATATATTCATATAGTATGGCTCGTAGGGAGGGGTCACATAATCTGGCACGGGCGGCGTATCGTGACGTCCACAGCCAGACTGTCACCATAAAGAAAAACGGTAAGGTAAGGAGATCCGGGTTCATTATAGGTCGATGCTGTAGGGAAGAAAAAGGCGTCAATCCATTGAGCATGTAAAGGAAGGGTTAGTATGTGATGAAGACAATGCTGGCTAGCCGAACAACCTCCATGTGGTGCCAGCTGGGTGGTTCGGGTTAATCCCGTTCCAGCGAATAATTCGGCGGCAGTGTGCCAGGACGTGGCAGGTTTTCGCCTGCAAGCGTTCTCCCTATAAAAAGCCACATATGTCTGTTTAACAACATTGCGACGTGGCTGATGTGACTCGTCACTAAATATAGTCACTGCCTCTTCCCCATTTCGGAGGATCCCCACTTTCCAAAGGTCATCCAATTGGAAGAGTTCCACTGATCCCTTCATATGATGGTGAGCACAGCAAACAAACTCATGAATTCAGTCACACTTCACTCACCATGCCCACTGACACATACATTTACATATATATAGACTCACAAATCCAGTATGTAACTGGTTAACATGCCATTCTATAATTACCGAACATACTTGTTTGTATTATCCTGATCATGATTTCACAGGCGTGCCCCGCTCTGCCGGGAGTGAAACATTTATTTAGTTAGGTTGGGGAGTTGGAGTACCCGCTGTATAGTTGGATTTGGACACAGAATATCATATGTGACTTCGGTCATTCAAACCACTAAGACCGTATCCGAACTGGGGGTTTCGATGGGGATCCTCCCAACACTGATATCCCATAACCGGTTTCGTCCTCGCTTGAACTCATCAGATGGAGATAGCTTGATCTGGGATGGAATTTGTCACTTAGTGCTTAAAGGTCGACGCCTTGATCACTATGCCACTAAGATCCGTGAGCAATGCTCGGCACAGCGGTAAGGAATTCAAAGTTGGATTTGGAGTGCCCGCCGAGTGGTTGGATTGCGACACGCTATCTCTAGTGGGACCTCGGTTCACTATACACTTCGGTCATCCTGAGCACAAGGACCGTATCCGAAATGGGGGTGTTTCGGTGTTGTTCCTCCCAACATTGACACCCCACGACCGGTTTTGTGGAGGTTTGGACTTAGCAGGTAGAGATGACCTGCACAGCATTGGACCTTGAGGCCAAATGGTTGACGGCTGATGCCACTGCGTGTCGCAACCTAACCGCACGGCGGGGACTCCAAACCCAATTTTGAGTTCCTAACCGATGTGCCAAGCGTTTCTCAGGGATCTCAATAGCCGAGTTATCAAGGCATCACCTATTAATCATTAGGTCTTAAGTTGCACTCCCGAGCAAGCTATCTATCGGATGAGTCCAAACGAGGACAAAACACGTATGGGATGTCAGTGTTGCTAGGAGTAATAGCGAAACTTCTCAAAATGGTACTGATAATGTAGAGAAGAATGAAATTGAGCTGGTCTTCGGTGATGCGCACATCGCCCACGTATGTTATGGGGAGTTGCTGAAGAAATGAAAGCAGAATAGAAGCTTACTACTTTAGGCCGTAAGTGGGTGGTCACTGGTACACATACGAAAGACCAATATATGATGAAAAGTAAGCAGAGGATCACCGAGACTTGAACAGTCGGGTTACAGAATCACACCTTCACTTAATAGTCATTTAGGTAAACAACCCGACATGTGGATGGGGGAGAAAGTAGACGAAATTAACCATGTGGAGAGACTACAGCTGCGCATAGCATCAGGTAGAATGAGTTCAGAGAATAAAAGTGGGGTCACTATCATACAATCGTCAAACTAGAGGACAGTGACAGAGACAGTTTGTCTGGCCTGGTGTAAAGGGCGCTGAACATGCAAAATACATCGCACATCACAACTCAATGGAACGTGGACGTACGCAAACCATCACGAAATGTTACGGTCCAGCCTCATAGTGGCGGTATTGAATTTAGTCGTAATTATTGCTATTTATAACACTGTTTATCGTATCATCATCCAATCAGTTATATTGACCTACATGCTCATCAGCACATAGGAACCCAATTAAAGTACATTCCAATGAACCAAAGTGTGCGAACAGACTGTCCCTCAATACCCTCAAGGAACGTGCTGCTTTCTTGGATCAGTGTGATAACCAAGTTTAAACACCATGCAATAGCTGGTTTTTGGAGAAATGCGAGCATCACACTACCCGTCCACTGTATGCACTTCGACAGCTTAGATCTGTGCGAAAATGATTTTTTGCATGCAGTCGGATGGTCCGCACCGCTTTGCCTGTTGTAGTTTCACCTCTAAGCAAGGCGAAGTGCGTCCGATGCTATCGCTATCAGCCCATGAGGACGAATCCACGCGTTCGTTAAGGTTGGCATTAAAAGCTCGTCGTCGCACATCACGTATTATGGTGTTCTTTCCAGGAAACAAATCGGTCTGCATTTTTACTTGCCAGCTACACTGGCTCAAAGACTGTCTCAGAGGATGCGATCTTGACAAAATCCATTAGCCGACCACAAGCTATACAACCAAGTTACTCTGGTTAGAATCTTCGTGTGCATCAAAATGACTTCTCTCACCGCAACCTGCCAACTATCGGTGCTGAGGGCTCGTATTCATCTGCATCACACAGCCTTTCTGTATCGCGCCCAATTTATGTGGGTGGGGCATCCAAGCCAAGCTGTCGTTCCTCGTGCGTAACCCGTTGCATATGTTATACCCGGCAATGCGTACTATACCTCAGTGATATTTGCTAGCATTTTTGAGCACCTAGACTAGAGAAAAACTTGCCTCGGTCTACCAGCATTTTAAATCAACTTTTGCTGACTCCGTAGTGTTTATTCAAATTAACTTACACTAGAAGCGCGTCGAAAGCACTCACCGATCCTAGGCACCCATAATGCAGCACACTAGGTGAATGTTTATAAGCTTCCTATGTCATTACATAGCATGAAATCGGATAGGTCAGTGCAACGTTCATCAATCGTACGCTATCCAACAGGTTTTCAGCTGAACAAAGAGATTAATGACAGATTTAGTCATTGTCTTGTGGTATGCGTGAGAAGCCTTTCGACAACAATCAGAAAGTCCAGCGTGATAACACGGTACAAAAAAGGTTTATTGGAAAGACATAGTGCCACAATGCGGCACAAGTACAGCTCAACGTCCCAGTTTGCACATTAAGAGGGTCGCTTCTGTTTCCAGAACTTGCGAACATCTTCATGTCCGCTTTTTGAAACAACCATCAAGCGTCTTTCAGGATTCTCCCACAGCAATACACCAATACTCTGTAGATGTTTTAGGAATTGCAATCATCGCCTACCTTGGCGTAATCCCGGACAACCTCGAAATCCGTGCTTTTAGAGAATTGCTCATACAGACAACCCTCCTGGAACAAAAATCGGTCCCGCTCCAGCTCCCACAAATGAATCTGGTCCACAACGGTGGGTGGTAACACAGGTGGCTGAGGGAAGGGAAGACGAGAAGACAATCCGAAGTGCTGACGAAAAGAAAGAACTGAATATACCGACTGAACACCAATGCGTAGGGACGCCGTTCGATTAAGTCGATTTAACGCATTGGCCAGATCACAGCTTAGCTAATGATTTAGATTAAAGTAACAGGGACAATGAGTATCAGTATTTGAAGTCCTTATGCTATTCAGAATAGATAACCAAATGTTGTTTACGAGATGCCGCTCATTGTTGGGTGGACACAAATAAGCAAATGTAGAGTTGATGGTGGAAATTGTAACGCAGTAAACAAATGGCCTTAAAACAATCAAAGGATAATGCGTCGCTATTAAACATGAGGTGCTGGGGCTTTCAAAGAGATCCCAGGCTCGTCTAGACTGCAACCACGTAGGAAGCTTGCATTTTGAACATTCGTGAATGCATAACCAAATGGATCCGAATCTGAAGTAATCTATGGTTGGCAAAACGCGGTTTCGCAGACCATTGCAAATATGCCTGAAAGCGAGTAGGAGATACTAGTTCTACGCCACACATGCCAAAGCGCCAGCCAAAAAGGATAGTATTCAAACCAGCTTTATTTATTTTCACAGTAGTTGCAGAAAGTTGGGTGAGTCCGTCCAAAAGGTGGCTTTGAATTTAATGAATCATCACTCGCGATAACACGACTGCGCTGACAATGTATGAGCAACGCATTTCTGCTTGACATGTTTTCGCAACGCTGTCAGACGATAGGTTGCACATCGACGGACGTTGGATCTTAATCCACTGCCTGATAATTATCGGAAAGCACTTGGCATCCACACTTATTTATTTGTTTATTCGCTTACTAACGTAACATTACTGCTTATTTAACGATAATTTAGGCTTAGGTTCCTAAAACTTTTCTCAGCCAGTTGCATCCATAGCGCTTTCAAATTCATCTTTAAGGAAATTATTCTCCTCCACAGACTCTCAAGCTAGTCCTTATCGCTTTCAATTTGAATCCAGCGGGCACAAACACCCCTAAATCCGACGGTCCAGTGAGTGACCACGTCCAAATCAGGCAATGTCATTCCACTCTGCGTGCTCCTGTTATAATATCTCCTTATTTGAGATTGGTCACTCAACGAACAGTGCATATATTTTCTGAGTGTTTGCACATGTTGAATACAAACTGAAAGCGTCTGAACCATCTTGAGCGACTTATGGAGGAATATGATTGTCTTAAAGAGGATTTTGAAAGTGCTATGGATGCAATTTACTGAGAAAAAGCATAGTCATTTGTTTTCCTGCAACATTTCCTTAGCTTACATAAACGCGGCCGTTTGATCTGTAACGTCTTATTTCACGTCGGCCTGTGAGCCTTGTCACTTGTTTGTAAGTCGACTATGTATGTTCGTTTAGAAACGCTTGTAGAACCGCGGTTTGTTCTGCACAAGTTATTCCATCATCGTATTCTACCACCCAGACTGCGCGTATGGTGTCTTCGATCCTCGTCAGTTGCTGCAAAAGTTTTGGTGCATTGGGATGAGATGTGGTTTAAACAAGAATTTCTACATTTACATATTTGTCGGGTACTCCTCTCATGAGCAGACAGTCCCGAAGGGCACATCGATCAACTGATTCGAAGGCACGTTTAATGTTCAGAAACACTACTACAGTCGGTCACCAGTAGAAGTGCGTTCCACTACGACGAAATCTAGTTTGCTGTCAGCGAATCAGTCAGTCAATTTGCGAAGGACGATAGAAGGATGTAACTTAGATATGAGCCCCACTGGGCAATGATGGAGCAGTACCATTCGGATGAGAGTTTTTTGGTCCCATGGTGTCACTAATAAATCGTGTAAATAGTCCACAAGAGTTGATCCATAAGTTCGAAAAAGCCTGGAAAAGATCATCTGGTCCCACGGCATAATATAGTTTCAACAGTGTGATCCTACGTTCGATCTCTATGCGAGATGGTAGATACAAAGAGAGGGCACATGGAGCATAGCGGTACCGTTGAGGCATGTCAGTCTTAGAGAGCTGCAAATAGAAGTGGATGCCCGGGTGTGCGCGTGGTTGGACGTGGAATAATTTACAGTGCAGCAGTGACGCTCCGTAATGGCGTGGGAGTTAAAACTAGAAAACAAAACGATTACCAAAGCAAGGTGTTGGAAGACAAAGAACTGGGGGTTGCAAATGGGGGAAATAAAAGTGAAGTTGGAACGGGACGATAAGGATTAAAAAACCCCAAGAAAAGGAAGAAAAAGACGAGGAGACTTGAGCAGTAGCATCCAAATCTCCATCCACCCTGCTCGATATAGCAGATAAGGCACCGCTAATTATGCTATACGACGGCCAAAGCATTAAGAAATTGTGTGAAGAGGTCATTACATTGCATGGGCGGGACACTGTCAGGTTGCCCAGTCCTAGATAAGATAACGATTAGGGTTCTCAAACAAAGCCTTTGGTTCAAATGGCTGACCGCAAAGCAGTGGGATTTTGGTATTAGGCTACAAAGAGTCCGTTCTAAGAAGGAAGAAGCCACCGTCACCCCAACGTGGAGGACAAGGTGACGGAGTACGTCTAGCCTCCAACCATTGATTAATCTGGTAGGGACGGATTTAAATGTGCAAAAAGCATCACTCAGCACAGATTAATGGATTGCTGAAACACATAAGTCGTCCTCTCGCGATAGTTAAATGGCCCCTGGTTGGGTAATATCGCTTCCTTTCTGCATATCTGCTCGTACATGTGGGCTATTTGCTTGAAGGACACCTGACCACGGAAAGCGATCCGGGAGATGGAGGTAAAACAAACTACTGCAAGACGTGCTTTTCTGAAAGAGCCGGATCGCAACCTTCACTGTGAATTAGAGCACAGGCGGTGTGGCATTGTAGCATTGGGCGTTAGCTTTTATTATTGGCCGTTCGGTACGATTTCCGTACAGAAAAACTGCCAGTGGGAACAACGCATCTCAGTCGTTTCGATCGTCCGCACAGAAACTGGATAGTTAATGGAGGAGCCAAATGGAACATTGACAATTTAAGGTCCTTGAAGATGTTGTTTAAAACAATCGAGAATTTGATATCAAATCTAGGCCAAAACGTCTTACTTCAGCTGAGCTTAAGGATCAACGACGATTTACTTGCGCTTTCATATTTCCAGCAATTAGAATGATTTGGGAACTGTGGAATAGCGTGAAAAGGCTGTAATAGTTCAATGGGCCACAGTGGTACGCAAACAGCCGCACAGCGTCAAGGTCCAGTATCGTCGCAATGACAGAGTATAGTTGAGAAAAAGAATAGGTGTGCAGGAAACGAAAGGTGGCGCAATCATGAGAGGTGTATACTCCTGCACGATTAAGTAGGTGCACAAGAATGTGCCCTTGCGCATAGGGACCACGAAGCTGACCACTGATTCGTTTCACCGGCTCACTGTAATAATATGCCAAAGTAGGGGACAGTATTTGTTCCCGAATCATCCGGATGCGGAATCGATATTCCATGTCTTGGGTATGTAAAGTAACAGAATACAAGACATGTTGTGAGGGGTGGATTGTTGTGCAATTCAATAACGTGTCTCGGTAAAACCTGCTTCCATAATGAAGCTTTTTTTGGGTGAAAATCGAAAGGTGTGGGGTTTTGTCAACGTCGTTTTCTCACCAAGTAGTGAGACGTTTACAGTGAAGAAGTTGTGTAACCCACAAACCAACTCAAAGTGAGCAAGCAGGAATTGTAAGCTTATGTGAGTGACAATGTTTGGATGTGGCGAGAAACAGGAAGAGATAAATTACAATCGTCGGAATTCAGAACGGTGGGTGGTGCACCGCGGACTAGTCTCGGTAACTGACAGATTATTGTGGTAGGAACCACCTCAATCACAGAAACAGCATACAAATAAAGCATTGTTGTAGTTAATCACGAGAGCTGTTCGCATAGCAATATCTCGCATACTTTGGTGCAGTTGAAATTCCAACAGATACGGTCTCAGCGATGAGCATGACCGACATCTATGTTGGATTAAACCGAGGTCTCAAGTAAGATTGCGTGCCGCAATCCAAACACATGGCAAATACTCCGAAACACAGCATTGAAGCTTTACTCTTTAAGTAAGGAGGAAATCATCTATTACTATTTCGTTGGGTGGAATGTCAGATCACCCTGTTAAAATGCGGAAAGAAGCCACATAGCACCATAATTCGGTGCACAGAGCATAGACGAGTAAGTGGACTGTGACGGCTAGCCTCAGTCAACAACGAAGGGCATAAAAGCGTAAATCAGTGTTGAATGTCAAATTATCGACTGCGGCTCACGTCTGAAATCCCGAGGAAAACGAGCTCCATGGAATGTGATACCGATCCAAAAACAAGAGAAGAGGCGAGCGTTGGAAATTTATAACACTTTAACGCTTCTGCTTACCTGATGTAACATGTCCGGATGGGCGTTCGTTTTCAAATAAGATATTATCTGTTGAGAAGGAATGAAGGCGATACGGTTAACCGGAGAAAATTATGGAAGCTTACCTGATCAGATGTGATGCCACGGACAAGTGCATCGCGCACTGAGTCGCGGGTGATATCGGCCACCACCAGGTTAGGAAAGCGAGCTCTAATCCTGCTGAACAGACTTAGTAAAGCAGTGCGCAATGGAGAGTCTGTAGGAAGAAATGAAAACAACAGCATAAATAGCAGTGATGAGACATCATTCGACTAAACAGACGGGATTTTTATAGTTATAAATAGTGGGCCGAATAAAAATTTCCTAAATTATGATCACAAGGAATAAAAATAGAACAACAATCTTACGGACTGATAGAGGTAACTGCATAAGAACGACCTAAGATGAGACGATTTACACGCCATCAGATGGTTGCCAGTATGATGTGCGAAACTGTTTCTCTGAAAGTTATACCATGAAGAGGGTTTGAAAGAAAACACCACGCCATAACTAATCAATCATGTCGGTTGTCGTCTGCATTCCAATCGAGTCATTTTACTCTATGGTTGCGAAACGGCCACAGCGATCCGAAGACACTCGGAAGCTGGAAGTCTTCGACCAGTGGTGGCTAAGGCTTATCTTAAAAACGCTGTGGCATGAGCGTATCACCAAGAACGAAGTTGGTAAGCGCAGCTATGGTCTTCCGAAGCTTTCAGCGCACATCCAACGCCGCAGACTTCGGTCACATCCTTGGCGGACCAGCCACTGACTTCACTAGGGTCGTGATTTCGCCCTCGTCTTGCCAGGGTCGGTGCCGTCGCCGTGGTGGACAATTGAAAACGTGGCTCGCTGCAGTGAAATCGGGTGTCGATCTTCTGGGACTCCAGGTTGTGCATGGTACTCGTCAATGGAAGAATTATAGGATCGGTATCCGCGTGGAGTTGCCGGTGATCGCTGCGCTTGGGCAGCTGTAATCCGCGACATTCATGAAGCCGGCTCATCCTGTCGCAGGAGCTAGCCGCAGTAAAGTAAAGTAAGTTGGTGTCTCCCATGCAAGGTGTCGATATCCGGTGGTTATCATGACCAGCGGACCAGTTTCTCAGAGAATCTGGAGAAATACGCGTTTATGACGGAATCGGAGGATGAACATGTTCTCATGTTCCTATTGCGATCATCATCATCATCATCATTACACGGTAGCTGGATGTGGAAAATACGTCAGCTATTATGCCGCAATACAAAAGGCAAGAAAAGAAAAACAAACAGTGGCACGCCCGCTGAGTCCCCAGTAACGGATGGACATCGTTCCGGAGAGCTAACAGCTGGCTGCCGTAAAAGAAAGTCATATTATGCCTAACGATTGAGATCGTGATTGGAGGGGGATGCTAAACAGGAGGGGGATGGACAAAGGAACTCACAACACAAACGCCATTGGGGCCGGCTCCTAGCCATATCAGCAAGTGTGTCCAACTAAACGCGTCCTATTGCGATAGTAGTCCAGATGCAACGTGTTCAAACGAAAGCATCAAGTTACTAATTCATGAAGGCAAAAGGTTAGCACGCGTCACGATAGTGACGTTAGCACGCACCGAGGAAGTTTTAAGCCGATAAGCATTACTGAACAACCGAAGTGCAATCAATTAGTCCAGGAATAGATGGGTGCTTCAATGTTGAACCCGGCCGGGGCACCAGTGGACCAATGAAATACGCATACGAGATGCTATTCGGTGAAATGCAACCGATGTGTGTCTTAAAACGGTAAATTTAATGAGGCCAAACGCGGGCGAAGTATTTGACGCATCACAAGCGTGCATGATTCGGGGAACGGTAGAAGTTGCGCCTTGCAAAAAAGACTGAAAAGATTGAATGGATAAGTGGCATTCCTATAGGCGTTATTATATACTGGTTGGAAAGCTTAAGATAATAGGGATTAACTGTGTCCTGACAACACGGTCTTTTTATGTCTAAACACTACTGTCGGTCACTCACAATAAACACCCTAGGCAGGGAACAGAGATGTAACAGAATTAGTGATGGACGTGCTACGGACCAGTCACAATCATAGAAGAGAGAGGGGCATGTGTTCATAAAACAGCACAAGAAAATAAGTACTTCAAAAGCCAAAGACAGCACAAGATCTCCTTGCAGTTCGACAAATGCGAAAAGCGGTCAACAGGCCAAAAACAACTAGTGCATGTGTACTAGAAATTAAGGGGGAGGATAGAACAAAGCAATATCGGAAGTTTAATTTGATTCGATCTCGCAAGCAAAGGATCAGTTTTAACAAATGAGAGGAAACATCTCTGAACTCAAGGTTGCGAGAAGATCTCTTTCCAATACTCCTTATCAGGCAAATACAATTATAAGAATGCGAAAATAGCGCAACGCAGTAAGGCCTGACTAACAATAGGTGACTCGAGAGTATTTGAACGATGCTGCCACATTCCACCGATATTCCTGTCGATCAACTGAAGTTCGTGGATAACGCCCATGAAAATTGCAGAAACAGTTGCGAAGAGGACTCTTCGGCAAAACGCATCAACTGAAGACAGACGTTACGGCAGCCGATGGTGCGAAGAAGATCGCACTGGGTTGCCGCCATTGTTCGGCGCCGAGGAGTTGGCGCTTGGCCATGCCAAGAAAAGTGCTTGCACAAGGGCCTTTCGTTTGCACAACTCCGGCTGCATCACTCTGACGGGAATAGTCTCAGCCGTCCTCAGGAGGCGTTTTCTAAGCATTTCGGGGGATCTGCTTGGCACAGTGTAGAAGACGTTGAATGAGTCGGTCAGTCCGATTTCGTGTCCACCTTGGAACAAGTGCTCTATGATGGCACTCTTAAATCTTCCGATCACGCCCCTTCTTAGCGACCTCAGGCTGTGCTCAGCGATCCGTCGTATGTCCAATATGCCTTGCACCACAGGTGTAGGTGAATTGATTTAGAATATACGACTTGGACTGGACCAAGAGTCTGTCTCTAAGGCGTTGGGTGATAAGCGTGGTAGTCTGTGTCACAACATGTGGGTAAGCTACCGGACAGACTTTGCCTACTGCAGTTGAGAGTCTTCTGTTCAGTAAATCGAAGGCGATATCCCCTTTGAACAGTGAGAAAGACATCCCTTTTAGGAAAAGTGATGACCTGTGCTCAGACCTAATTTTACAAACAATCTCATTGTGTTACGAAAAATTTCGAAAAAATTACGACATTGTCCATAAATATGACCAACGTTGGAGTGTGTTGCCTTGCTAACACGTCAATGATTGAACGCGCCAACCTACGTGTATTTCGTAAAATCGAGAGTAAACATTTATTTAGTTAAGGTTCAGTTCGGTTAAACAACCATAATCCGGGGAACAGAGTGCATTGGCTTCAGCTGCTACGAATCTCGTGGCCATGGTAACAGAAAATAGAGATGGCGAGAAATATGAAGTTTAAAGCAAACAGGATACAAAAAACTGGCTCTAAAAAAGAAAGGAAATTAATCGAAATGTAATATAAATAGCAGCATGCAAGAAACTGAATGCAACAGTGGCGGATTCCGCAACTACGTCATACTCTATTTGGTCTCTAAAGACTGACGCGGACCAGTCGACGAACAAGGCAAGTGCCAGGTAGTCTAAGTCTTTCGGTCAATATCATTGTGTTCTCATGCCACCTCACGGTTTCACCTAACGACATGCAAGAGACAACAGCAGTATATAAGCCATTTGAACTGACGCTTCGATGCCGTACAACTAAAACGACCTACGGAAGAAGGAAGAATAAAAGGGGGAAATAAATGCATTAAGTACACTATCAGACCTAGTGAACAACATACCGTCAAACATGTGGCTATCGTGCAAATAGGAGGCGGCATCAACGAGACAGCTTCCTTGCGGCTTTCACTGCCCCGTGAGGTAATCAACCACAGCCCCGCAGACAACTCAACACCAAACACAATTTATACACAGTCCGATTAGGGACGACAGCAGACGCGTCACAGTTGCCGACTGCGATCCATGTCCTGTAACGTCTCAAACCAAATACAAGGCGGGTCATGTTTCCTCAACCTGGAATGCAAGAGGGACCGAGTTAACCCTGTTTGGTCGTGAGTAACTTTATTTTCCACAGCCAAGTCAACGTTTGTCTACCTCAAGCCTTGCGTTATCTCACATCTGGAAACAAAATAAGGCTCTCCTCGGAAAGCGGTGATAAAGCATGCGTAGCATGTGCCAAATCGAACGCTACTTATTTTGTTTTATAATTCTTTTTATTTTGTTCTAAGGAACACGTCTAATTAGCAATGCCTAGTACCTGTAGAAGCATATCATCGTTGTGAACACGCTGGTGGCACCCGACACCACAAATGCTTTGAAGACAGAGATGGTTTAGGACTTGAAGTTACTTCAGATCCTCAGCGCGGAGAAGACAAGCTCCACCACAATATGGGGTGACGGCTCTCATCATAGCCTGGTGTACATGGCGTTTAAGACCAAGGGAACCCGCCTTCTTTTGACGCCACATGTCATAGATTAGAAAGGCAATTCTAACCTTCGTAACAGATGAATTAACAACACTTACTTTTTGACGAGTTATTCTCATAGCCAAAGGTCGGAGTGTACAGCAAATTTCTAATACAACACATGTTCCGGCAGAATGCGAATGAAGAATTTCATGAACCAGGCGGAATCGCACATCAAGTTGGTCAGTATGATTGTGGGTATCTTGTGGAGAGGAGACCGTGTACATACATTTCATACACGCTGTCCAATAGAGACGCACAGATCAGAAATCAACTGTGAACCAGGGACTCATCGCGTCAGGAAAAATAAGTCCACGGTTGTTCAAAATCACGGGATTGTGGACAGTTTTCGAAAGTTGGGGAAAGTGTGACCGCATATATCTGACAATCGCATCCGCATAAGGATCGACGCCATAGTTGTCCAACTTCAGCTTGTAGATCCGTACCACGCAGTATGCGCCAAAGACCGTAACGTCTACACCATTAGCTGCCAACTCCTTATGCTTCATATTGAGATTGATGTTGCATACATCATGCTTCCTCAGCGCAGTTGGGCTACACCGACTTACATTTAAATTAGAACTTTATAATCTGCATAAAATGTATTCCACATTTTTTTGATTTCCTCAGTTCTGTTATTCTGCTACATAATCCGTGTCAATTTTGCGTGTTCATTTTCCTTCAAATTATATTTTGGTTGTTTGATATCCCCGGTGTA